GTCATAAAATGGCACACACTAGAAAAACTAATCGTGCAAAGTTTTATTCCGTTATATTAAACGCTTCTTGATTTGTGTACTGGAAACTGAACGAATGAAGTGGAATTTAAAATTCTCCTATATGGGAAGTAGGCGTGGTTGTTGTCCAATTTCGCTCATTTTCGCAACGCATGGAACGTTCCAAATTTCGAATTCGGTTGGACCGGTCCCGAGATATGGGGTCTCACCAAAATGTGGACGGTGTCACGTCCACCGTCCAGTTTTCACACCGGCTCTCACAAAGCTCTCTCTTGTGAGCATGGTTATCCTCCGATTTCATCCATTTTCACTCTGTCGGTAGAAGTTCCTATAAGATTTGGGCTCAGTGAATTTGGTTATTATAGCTTAAGCGTTTAGAAAAGGGCGGGGCCACGGCCAATTTTTCAAAAACAACAAAAAAAAAAAAAAAATCCCACAGATGCCCCTTGCTACTGTGAATCCTTGTACAAAAGTACAGCTTTATTCTTAGTTTTGGCACTTTACAATGTGCATTCCAAAATAAACAGGACAGAAAAGCATGTCGAAAGAGTGCTTTAGCTCTTTGGCCGGTATGGCCGGCAGTAAGCCGGTGCACGCCTTTTGAATGGCCTCTACGTTCCTTTCATAGGGAAATGCATTTTTCGGAAAAGGAAGAAGTCACACGGTGTGTGGTTAATGATTAAAATGTGATGTTTGGTCAAATAATCGTCCTTCGAATGTTGGATTTTGAGCAATTTTTGGTCCTCAGTCAATTTGTGTGGAACAAACCGTGCGCACACCTTTGTAAGACCAAATGTTCGGTCAAAATAGAATAATTGGATGTTTTGGAGATGTTCAATTCTATTTCCATGAATTTCAATAATAATTTCGGCTGATTTTTGATGAATTGTTCGTCATTTATGTCCTCACGACCACTTTGAAAGCGTTGAAAGCACTCGTGCACTCTGCAACGATATAGGCCATACACTTGTTTCATCAATTGAAGCGTTTCGGTAAAAGTTTTACCAATTCAAAACGAAAATTTCATGTTGGCTCTTTATTCGAAACACATTTTCGCAACGATAACACAAACATACTGACACTTAAAACGCAATAACTTCACTTCCAATCAGTGAAATGTCATGAAATTCTCACTGGACAATCGATAAGGATAGCAGATTCTAACGCATCAGTCGACATATAGATGGCACCACCAGGCGCCGCTAGATTAAAAAAGTCATGTTTGCTTTCGAACGCACCTTGTATAAGTTTTCGGTCAATGGCGATTTGTGGGCGCGGCATTGGTCCGATTACTTCCATCTACGAAATCGAACTTTTTTATACTCTCGCAACAAAGTTGCTAAAGAGAGTATTATAGTTTTGTTCACATGACAGTTGTTTGTAAGTCCTAAAACTGAAAGAGTCAGATATAGGGTTATATATTTCAAAGTGATCAGGGTGACGAGTAGAGTTGAAATCCGGATGTCTGTCTGTCCGTCTGTCCGTGTAAGCTGTAACTTTTTACTCAAGCTACATTGAGATATCATGATGAAACTTGGCACACGTATTTCTTGGCTCCATAAGAAGGCTTAGTTCGAAGATGGGCAAAATCGGCCCACTGCCACACCCACAAAATGGCGAAAACCGAAAACCTATAAAGTGTCATAACTAAGCCATAAATAAAGATATTAAAGTGAAATTTGGCACCAAGGATCGCATTCAGGAGAGGCATATTTGGACGTAAGTGGGCGTGGCGCCGCCCCCTACTAACTTTTTTGTACATATCTCGAAAACTACTATAGCTATGTCAACCAAACTGTATAGACTCGTTTCTTTTAGGCATTTCCATATACAGTTCAAAAATGGAAGAAATCAGATAATAAACACGCCCACCTCCCATACAAAGGTTCTGTTGAAAATCACTAAAAGTGCGTTAACCGACTAACCAAAAATGTCGTAAACACTAAATTTTACGGAAGAAATTGCAGAAGGAAGCTGCATCCAGGCTTTCTTCAAAAATTGAAAATGGGCGTGGCGTCGCCCACTTATGGACCAAAAACCATATATCGGGAACTTCTCGACTGCTTTCAATGAAATTCGCTATATAATACTTCTTAACACCCTGATGATATGTACGAAATATGGGTGAAATCGGTTCACAACCACGCCTTCTTCCAATGTAACGCTATTTTCAATTCCATCTGATGTCTTCTCTGTATAATATATACATTAGGAACCAATGGTGACAGCGGAATAAAACTTTACACAAACACGGTATTTGAGCTGAGGTATCTCTTGTGGAAAAATCGTCGTGATCGGACTATAATTTTTCAAGGTCCCTGATATCGAACACGAAGAACTCAGTGCATAATCTAACCTAATTTAATCTAATTAATTTTACAGCAAAATTATCGATTATCACTTTATCGTGCGAGAGTATAAAATGTTCGGTGACACCCGAACTTAGCCCTCCCTTACTTGTTTTTTACTAAGAAACCCGTGTATCAAGTTTCATTAAGATTCCTCAATTTTTACTCAAATTACAGCTTGCACGGACGTACGGATAGACAGTCAACCGGTTTTCAACTTTTCTCGTCATCCTGGTCATTTATAAATATATAATCTATATCTATCTCGATAAGAATCTATAAATAATTTGAACCCGTTATAGCACAGTTATGAAGTTTGGAGCTTGTTAAGAAGCATTTTTTAATGACCTGAGCCCGTCGACCGAACCAAACTTTCAATTTTATACTTAAATAAATTAAGTAAATGTTCGCGAAATTGGAGAGCGAAAATGGCAAAATGGTGAAAGCTTTGCCTGCGCATAATATTGAAATTGCGCTTTTCACAGCGTGGAGGAGGCGGGGGGTATGCGCGGAGAATGGCGAATGCTTCGTGAAATATTTGACAAAGCGGATTCACTTTGTGGCAAATTGACATTTGTTTAATGAATTTGTAATCCAAAAAGAAGTTCACATTTTTCAACGACACTTCAAGGAAAATAGTTGTCCAATCTGCGAGCGGGAAAAGTTTTGAGAATAAAGGGTGTTGACGGATAAGAAACTCTATAGGTGATTTTTAAAATTAGCAATCATTTGTTGGCATTACTTATCTTTCTAAATTGCTTTATTTAAATGTGAGTTAAATGGCTTATTTTAGGGAAAAATTATAGCCTGTATGCCACTCAATCTTACCATCTGGTTAAAATTTAGTTCTTAGAATTTTAGTATAAAGATCCAAATTAGAACAATTAGGAAATAACCGCACCTACATCTACATATAATTTGAGTTATAAATAAAAACGTTATCACGAAATTTAGCACTATTAGTGCCTGAGACATCATGAAAGTTTAATTTATTTGATTTAAAAAAATTTCACCAAATGGGCACCACCAATAATAATAAATGAATTTCAACCAAATCCGTTAGGTAACACAACGCTAACATTCTTATGTTTCAGTACAATTCAGTACGTTACATCCGACTGCAACCACGCCTACTTCCCATATAACACAACTCTAATTTGCATCTGATTCTTTCAATTTCCAGTATATAAATTAAGCACAATTGAACATATCGTACAGAACTTTGCAGCAATGGTACTTTAAGGTTTGTCATCTCAAGTCTAAAACTTATCAAAATCGAATCAAAACTATTCAAACCTCCACATACCGAATATGCGAAGCCGAGCCTATCTGTGAGATATGTAATTGAAATTAAAAGAAAATATGTTCTTATAATAGTATGTATGTTTGCCCGAAATGGGTTGAATCGGACAGTTAATTCTCTAACCCACCATACACCTAATAGAAAGATTTTTGAATTTCAGAATTTTCGAAGTGAATAGAATTGTTTGTGGAGTGTGGACTCTCTACCCCGCAACGATACAACCTCCTACAATACGTGCGGGATGGACAGGAAGATTAACACCACGAGTTGCTGAACCCTATTCTACAATCCATGACGATAAAGTGGCCGTTTCATTGACCGATCATGAAGAAGTTCGAATCGCAATTACTCATTTGTAGAGCAACAAAGCAGCGGGGGGCGATGGATTGCCGGCCAAGCTATTCAAATACGATAGTGAAGAATTCATAAAGATTCAGTTTATTTGTAGAATAAGGTCGGACGAAAGCTTGACTGACAATTAGAATTTAACTATGCTCTGCCCAATCCACAAAAAGGAGACCCAAAAATCTGCGCCAACTACCGCGGGATAAGCTTCCTCAACATCTCACAAAAGGTTCTATCGAGTGTATTGTGTGAAAGATTAAAGCCTACCGTAAGCAAACTGACTGGATCTTATTCGCCATTCGTGGCTGCCACGTCATTGTTGACAAGCATAACTTCGAAGTCGTGGATAATTTCGTCTAGTTTCTAATCAGCATCAATACCACCAATTGAGGCAATTGAGAAGTAAAGTCCTCTGTCGACGAACAAAGACCAAACTCTACAAGTCACTCATCATACTCATCCGGCTAGATGGCGCAGAGGCATGGACGCTGACAACATCTGATGAGTCAATAACTTTAGATTCCTCTTACAAACACCTTTGTTTTATTTTGTTTATTTCTGTCCTTACGCTTACATTTTTTTTTATTTAATTCATAACTATTTTTGATTTTCATAGTTTATTTTGGTTTTTGTTGAAGTAAATTCAATACTTATGCACTTTGTTGCATACATACATACAAATATACTAATTGCAGCTAACAAATTGTAACAACATGGGATTAAATGTAACAAGCTTCAAGTTTCCTCTTCTCTCAACAAGCCAATTACAGTAAATAAATCACATTGATAAATAATTATTCGGGTAAATATACATATACGAGTACATACCTATATATATAATAGTATAGTATATAATATATAAATAAGTAATGCACTTTGTAGTTGTGACTAGTGGATTAATACGGATTTGCCAAAGTCCAATTGTAAGTAGTTGTGGAGTATTATTAGCAACATCATCAAAAACTCTTTATCGCAATATTTATTTTTCAAGTAGATCAAGTGCACAGCAGGGCTTAAGCTTCTGCCTCTGCCTCGGCCTCCTGGGCTTTGCGGCTGGGCTGTGAAAACATAATAGTGAGAGAAATTAAAATCGATAAGTTGCTGAAAATTATGTATATAAGGCCATATGACATGGTAAAGTGCGGTTGAAAGAAAAAATTTGTCGATCAATTCTTTCGAGCGTTCTGTATTTTAAATGTTATTATCGATTATCGACAATTTTCGTTCAATTACTAATCGATTTCGATAAAAAATGTATGCAAATGCGTTAACTGCAGTTTATAGTGGTCCGATCTGAATAATATATTCGGAGGTTATAGCATTGTTGAATTTCCTAAAGATATCTTATAACAAGGCAAGAACTTGATTCTGATCAATCAGTTTGTATCGCAATACAATATCATATAAGTGAACCCACAAAGCCTACATTTCAGACCGATATTTTAAAACCTAGGAACTCGTTTGCGTATATATAGACAAACGAGAGCCACGGTGGCGAAAATGACTCGGTTCGCCACGCTGATCATTTATATGTGAGTGGACATTTTATGAGGCCTCCGATGTTTTCTTCTCAGTGTCGGAGGTAAGTACTTAGATAAGCTGATCTCGACTTCTTTGAAGAACGTAGTTTAAAGAATGAAAATATTGCGTTCTTGACATTTCAGACATTTATTTAGGTTTTCAACTTTTTGCAGTTCAGAGAGCTTCTCTCGGAAGTTCTTGTGCTATACTAATGAGAAATTAAAATAAACACTTGGTTCATCAGCTGAAAGTCGCCATTAGCCGATTATACCGGCATTCCTCTATACCTTAGTACTATCTCATCAAGAACTTAAAGGGAGGAGAATACATTTAAAAACTTCAACCTCAGCAAGACTAATTATGGTGGGAAATTTTATCAAAATTAACACCTTATAGCCGAAATCATTACCTTTGGGTGCATCAAAATAAATGGTAACTCGGCACATAGTTCGCCTCCCAAAGCGCCCAAGAACAGCTTGACCTTTACGGCGTATGAAACGATGATGCCAAAAGCATCTCGCGCATCTTGACTGGCAATCCTGAAAAGATTTATTAAAAATATTAATTTATTAAAAAGTTTATATTATGTGCTGTGGTTTTACTCACAGAGTAGTCGATGCCAATGACGTTTCCTTGCGCTTTACATCACCCTCAACGGCGATGCCAGCACGGTTACAATTGGCCGCCAATGTCGGTACCAAATACATAACCTTTTGCAAGCTGGAACCCGGGTTGAGCGGACAACCCTCACTGGTCTCCACAAATGCAATTGTATTGCGGAATTGTCCATTCTGGAAGAGCACCACGTCGACACCCTGCTGTACCATAGTCTTGATCTTCTTTACCACTTTATTCGAGTTATTACGCACACAAATATTCACAGCGATTTTCTCGCTGTGATGATACAGTTGCTTATCTAGCGTGACTTCCAGCTCCAGTTCACCGGGTGAGAGTAGGAAGTCTTTGCGTACTACCGTGCAAGGCTGTATGCCCTGCTTATTGGGTGCGTACTGTACTTTGCGTATACCCAAATTAATGGTGCTGCGACGATGTGAGCGATCACATTCGCTATCGCCTGTAAATACTTTCACGAAATATTGTACACCGCAAGGTTGCGTCTCATCGCTGGCCTTTTGCTGCAGCACGACAGAAGCTGGTGAACTGGGTGGCAACTCCATAACGAATGGGAAAGCATTGGAGCCGAGCTTCTTTAGTAAACGTTCCTGCATTTTGGTCAACTGTATGTCGACCTTCTGCTGTGGATACACCTGCTGCGAGACGAGCGTAAGTTCTTTTTGGAAACGCAGGCCGATCATTTCATCGTCTTCGCGTCCATAACGGAAGTTACAGATGAGTTGCACGTAGATTTTGCGATTTTGCCGCAAATATTCGTCATCCAGAACGATAATACCATCTGCAAAAACAAATGTTAATTATGATTAAGAGAAAAGAGAGCAAACGTAGTTTGTACTAATTTCAGGCGAGCCCACACATGTGTGAGGTTATATGTCAGGCTGATCCTGTCCACTGATATTATGAAGGTAACATGCTGTTACTTGAAATATCAACCTTTATCTGGCAAAAAACTACTTAAAATATGTCACGTGACCTTCATCAACGTCAAAGCGATTTCAGTTCTTAGCGAATCTGTTCAGGTGATTTCGATTTTTTCGTTCGTTGACCGATATACAATGTGGTTCAGCGGGTAATTGGATAGTATAAGGGAAATATCGCGATGTTTTTGCGAATTTTTTTTTATCAGCGTCCGCTAAAAGTTTAGCCGCACCTTATGTTGGTAAGTAGTTCAATGGTGTTCTTGGTACAGAAGGAGCTCGCAGCAGCGCTAGGTCCAAGTAAAGCTAGATCCAATTTAGTGCTAAACTTTAAGATGATTTTGAAACTCCGCGCCGTTCGCATTCTGATAAGCTTCCTTGCAATAATTTCAAGCTATCTGGGGCTAAGTTTTAGAATATATTATAGAAACTAAGAGGTAGGAAAATAATGAATTCCTACAGTCTGTTACATGATTCTTGAAAATTTATAGTGTCATTTCGAGGTAGAAACTATATAAAAATGGGTTAGAACTTAGTATGAAGGTGAAGGTTATCAAAACCGTTAGATAGTTTTAGATATTCTTCAGTGTAATTCGTTTTCTAGATACCTAGAGCTTTAAAATTTTATACCGTAAGTTACATAAAATTCGCTTTCAATGTTCTTTGATGGTCTGTTTAAAGCTTTTAAAAGCTCGTTGACACATTGAACCTTGTCGGCCTCAAAAAAAAAAAAAAAAAAAAAAAAAAAAAAAAAAAAAAAAAAAAAAAAAAAAAAAAAAAAAAAAAAAAAAAAAAAAAAAACTAATGTATTCTATTATTGGTAGACGAAACTTCAAAAATATTAAGAAAGCGTTTAGATTTCACTGCCAGACGACTTTTTATTCTCCTCTTACTGCGCCTACATTTATCTTTAAGCATTAATTTTTCAACTCTGCGCATTATTCAGACTGTTGTAATTTTATACTATCCGTCAGTGTAACGCAAATTCATAGTCAGACTAAAAGCTCCGATGATTAATGACTTTGTGGCCGAAAAATTAAAATTTATTTGCACATTCACACGCTCACTCACCGACTGGCTCCACCACCGTTATGGAGTCGACGAATTCACGCTTGTTCATGTACAAGGTGATCATGTTGTTGGGTGAGACCTTTTTAAAGACCTTAAAGTTGACAACCATCTTGCCGACTGCCTTTCACTGCTTTGATTTAAAATAAAATTTATTAAATCGGACTTGAACGCGCGAAACACGTAAGAAGCGCTGACTGAACGTTCGCGAATTCGAAAAATTGTTTCACAAAATTCTGTTATTTGGAGAACGCGACGAACGACGCGTACACGTGCACACAGTTAGCTGCCTAAGCGCTGGCGGTTTGTGGGTCTAATGGACGCTTCGGACGGTTCTCTAGTGGCGCGTTGCACGTCTGCGGCGATTTTAAATTAACTACCGTTTGTCGAGCGACCTTTATAGCGGGCGAAAGCAGCTGACAAGCTTTGACTCTTATTGAATTAGCGAACGTTTGCGTGTGGCTGTGTGCGTGCGAATGTGTGTGTGGGTGTTTGGCAAATACGAAAATGTCGTGTTATTTACATACGCACAAGCAAGCGCACCCTCATATTAGCAGACAGGCTAAAGCGCACCCACACACTTACACACAAGTACACATGTGACTGCGCTGCGTTGGGTACAATTTCTACGGCTTCGGCGACTAGCCTGACTACCACAATTGCTGGCGCTGCAGCGGGGTCAGTTTGACCGAAATTGATTTCGACACATACACACGCGTGCAAACATGTTGCAGCATACTCACATACACTCATACATGAGCGAGTGCAATGAGCTGACCCACCGTGTGGGCGGGAAATGTGCTGTGCGGCCTCGGGTTTGCGGTACCGTTGGAGAATTTGATCCTCTGTTTGTATGTATGTTCGGCTTTGGTGCTTATGCTTGTTCTTCCCAATAGTTATATGACTACTTTGAACACTCAAAAGTGTGTTTGTTTGCGTGCATCTAACTACGCAACACCTTTGGTAATGATATTCAACACTCTGGCAACAGAAAATCAATGAAATTTAATAAAATCTCATAGAAACACACATTCTTATTGGTTGAAATTGTATGCTTTTTTTAGTAACTATCAACAGAAAACTAAATAAAACTATTTGAATAGGCGGTATGCATCTTATAGATCTCATTCGTTTTATTTCCACAAACCACTTCATTCTAGCAAATTTTTTAATTGGTATGTGCATAACTCTGCACGCATATTTTTGGCACTTTATTGGAATCCAAGGAGCCAACTTTATCCAATTATTCCTATATAAATACAATGCTAGTTTAAAACGTATTATTTAATAAAGAAAGCAATTGTATGGACAATGCTTTTACTAAGACTTGTCAGCTCTTGAGAAGTGATTGATCTTTATTGTTCTAAAGATTCTTATTCATCAATTTTACGTTTTACTCAATTAATTTAATAAATACCCTAAAACTACAAAAAGAAAAAATGGCAAGATATCGAAAATTTGGTGAAACTTTGTCATGTGAAGGTGAAACTGGAATAGGGCGTGTAAAATTGTTACATAGGATTACAAGTTTCAAAAAATCGACCTTATTAAATTCTACAACACCTCTAGAATATTGTTCTAAATTTTGAAGTTGATTCGAGTAATAGTTTCGGGGATATAGCCTTGAGAACTTGTGTGCTCGAGGTCAGCTAAGCTAAGTGAATCATCATTAAACGCGTTCTTCTCGGAACTGTGTTTTTGTAGTCGGTTGGCAAAATTTCTCGAGAACCACTCAACCGATCTTAATGAAAATATATATTATATAAAATTCTTAAAGACTTGGATGAAGCATTTTCTTTTCGACTACAACTATTTGAAAAAAGAATATAGCGAAATTTTAATTTTTTTGTGAAACTGTCTGACAAAACTCCAATTTACAGATCTTTTTCCTTCATCCAAGTTCTAAGTAAACCCTGCGTTGCATAGGTTTGCATATATGCAATGTTAAATTCTCGTTGATCTGGCAGATACATAATTTTTATACCCTCAGCAGGGTATATTAAGTTTGTCACGAAGCTTGTAAAAGCCAGAAGGAAGCGTCGGAGACCTATAAAGTATATATTAGGTTGTCAAAAAAGTCTTGCGGTATTTTCGCTAGTTGGCGCTGAGAGCGCGTAGTTCTAGTTTTATTCGTCGCATCGGGTCATGCTATACTTTTTTGGAAAGCTCATTTCACGCGCTAACACGTGTTTGATTGTCGTTTCTTTTAAGTCGTTCGTAATTTATAGCGTCGCAAACATGGAGCAAACTAAAGAGAAAATACGGCGTATTTTACAGTACTACCACTACGATAAAGGCAAAAATGCATCTCAAGCCGCCAATAAAATTTGTGCAGTTTATGGACCCGATACAGTCTTCATTTTCACCGCACAACGATGGTTTCAACGTTTTCGTTCTGGTGTAGAGGTGGTCGAAGATGCGCCATGCTCCGGAAGGCCTGTCGTCGAAAATTGCGATAAAATCGCTGAATTGGTCGAAAGAGATCGGCATAGTAGCAGCCGTAGCATCGGTCAAGAGCTGGGCATGAGTCATCAAAAAAATTTTATGAACAATTGAAAATTCAATAAAAATACCGCAAGACTTTTTTGACAAACAATATATAAATGATCACTTTGTTGAGCCGGTTGAGTCGGTATAGCCATCTCCGTTTGTCTGTTTGTCTGTCCGTCTGTCTGTATATATACGAACCAGTCCATCAGTTTTTAAGATATCGTTTTGAAATTTTACAAACATCATTTTCAGGTCAAGAAACTGCTCAATTATCGGATCTGCCGATATGGGACTAGCATAACATCTTGCTGCCATACAAACTGAACTGAATGATCGGAATCAAGTTCTTGTATTCTTCTTCACAAAAGTTGGCATAGGTTATCTTCTAAGATAATATACGAAGAAATTGTTCAGATACGAAAACTTTGATGAGTGAAAAGATGGGTATTTCGATGATGATGAGGAAATTTTGAATTGGATATACAATTGGATATAGAAGCAAGCCCATCAATACGTCATTTTAAAGAAGTTGCAAAGTCCTGGAAAGAAAAATATGAAGAACTCTTTGGGAACTAAAAAAGTATAACAGCTTTAATACCGATTTTAAAAGCAACGAACAGCTACCGCAAGATTTTTAAAATCTTGCCCGTGCAGCTACTTTTTATATTTTTTTCAGATGATCTCATGGAGTTAATAGTTCAATGATAAAATTTATGCACTTGCTAAAAAGACCCAGCAGATATGAAAAATATAGACAAACGGGATCTGAAAAAGTTTTTAGGAATATGTATTGCGATGTCTATTGTTCAAATCCCTAATACTCGAACATATTGATGGCCAATAGTAGGCCTCAAATTTATACAGGACACTAGATCAGTGAATAAATTCGAAAAAAAAATTGTATGTTTTGGCTGGTATATCTGGGTATAATTATAACTTCGAGGTATATACTGGCCAAGAAAACAACAGCATCAATAGTTTCCTGAGGAAATTGATCTGGGATTCCAACATGGTTACAATATTAGTAAGCGCTATTTCCCCCAAAAATAAAAAGTTTTTTTTTGATAATTACTAAACATCTTTTGCCACCTATGTGAACGTGGAATTTACTCACTGGAAACACTTCGTCGGAACGATTTCCCAATTTTAAGCTTCTAGGCGAGAAATTCCGATTAAGAAAAGTCGCGGAGAATCCCTTAAATATCGTGCAGACGTGGATAATTTTCATATATCTGTAGTTTCCTGGAGAGATAATAAAATCGTTAACTTGTTTTCAAGTTACTATGACGATACTCCAGAACTAGCAGTTGAACGGTTCGATAAGAAATTTCCCCGGAAAATAACGGTCCCTTGCCCAAAAGTTCTATCAAAGTAGATCAAATTCATGGGAAGTGTTGATTTGCTAGATTTCTTTGTAGGTCGATAAAAAAATATGCTTAAAGAAGTGTTATATCTTTTATCTGTACACTTTTATTCAATATTATAAAGGGCATATCGGTTCAGTAAGTTTCTTTTAAATTTATTAAATATGCTGCATGATATTGCAATGTTATGTAACTGTCTCGTTAAGTACGCGCTCTTCACATGACAGAATTGCATGTGTATGTCTTCTAACAAAACTTTCGAGCTTCAACGAAGTCGATCAAACCATTATAGAAAGTTGTATCTGGATCTTTGAATTTTCTACCAGTGGGAACACCATGCGCTAAAAAAATTTCGTTTAGTGCCTTCCATGCTCTCATAGGGCGGGCTATGACGTCATCGGGAGTGATACTTATATTCGAATGTGTCAAATGACGTTTACTATCAAGTAGTTTGGCTGAGAGATATTACCATCAAGGACTCTACAGGCAAGTTTAGCTGGAATTGTAAACAAAAAAGTGGTTGAAAATTCCGCAATTTAAGGAATGTGTGCGGAGCTTTTGAAATTTAATATTTTCAAACAAATTAATGCACAAGCTAAATTAAAATAATGCTATATAAAACAATGCTAGCGAGAATTATAAGGAATGACTTACACCTAAACAGTGATAGCATTGCGAGCACGTTTAAGCTTTAAGCCGCAGGTATTGGGACGTGACTCACTCCTTCAGCCATTGTCATTCTAACAAGTGCAGTTCATACGCACGCATACATGCACGACACATAATTCAAAATAAATGTGCCAACAATAAGGAACAACTTTTCTACTGCCAAATTAAGCGACTCATTTTCCGTAGCAGACGCTTCTTCATAAAGAGAAATATTCTAGGAATTCCCTAACACATAAAAACCGCACACATACATACATATGTACGTACATACATACCGATATAAATTGTAACTTTGTACATATGTATGTATGTATAYGCTCCGCTATGTCATAAAACTAGGCAACACACGAGTAGCGACACTCATGTAGCTCTCAAATCGCCATAAATACATTGTGCGATGTATCGCAGGGCGGTACTGCTGACCCGGAATGGCCGTTCAGAGGCGTGAAGTCGACTTTGCGGCCGAAAGAAGTTTGCGCATATTTTTTATGGCGCTCGCGTAATTATTACGAGTATGTTCATTGAATGGCAGTGTGTTAAGTAGTCATGTTTCATGTAAATTACATTAGTTGGGTGGACGTGGCGGAACGAATGCGCTCAGCGCTCAGCTGGTGCGCAGCCATACATATATTATATATATGTAGGAAGTCCATAGGTGTGTTTGTTGGCGCACCCATAAAACTTTGTGACAGTTAATTGAAATAACTTGACCAGAAAGTTGACTTTCAAACCATTTTCAACTGATTTTGTGGTTTAGAGTGAGCCTTGAAATATGGAATTGTCTTCATACATACGCGCATATTAAGGTGTATCTTCCAATGCTTAAAGGTTGTAGTTGCCGAAAAGCTTAAAGCTC